CTTTTTCAACAAACGTTAAAGTGTACGACGTCATAGGATAAATACTACAGTAGTTAACTCAAATGCGGGTTTCAAGTTTAATGACATAATGGAAACTATGCCCACTGAATAACCTCTTCCAATTTCCTTCTGCTCACAGTCCCTGGAAACCACCAATATATTCTCTGTGAATAAAGATATAAGCATGGGACCTAAAATGTTAAACTTTTAGAGTAAAGCATCAGGAAAAAAAGCTTCTTCATATATGCCTTGGCAGTTATTTCCTGATGTGACTCAGAAGCATAAATAATAGAAGCAGAGATTGACAAGTAGAACTACTTCAAAACTAAAAGCTTCTGCTCAGCAATGGAAACATTCAACACAATGAAAGACCACCTACGGGATAGGAGGAAATATTTGCAAACATCTACGTGGTAAGAGGATAATATCCAAAATATTTAAGAAACTTGTACAATTGGATAGCCAAAAATAAATATCCTGATTTTAAAAATGGGCAAATTACTTGAGTGGAAATTTTCACAGAGAATACACAGAAATGCCCAACAGGTATATAAGAAATGGTCATCCCACTAGTCATCAGAGAAATATCAGTCAGAATTGCTTTGCACTAGTAAGATGACTGTTATCCAAATATTGGCAGGGATGTGGAAAAATTTATATTGTTTGTGGGAACACAAAATAAATAATGTAACAGCTATGGAAAATAGTGTGAATATTTGTCAAAAGAATTGAAAATAGAATAGCTATGTGATTCAGCTAGCCCACTTCTGGGTAGATATCAAAAAAATTTTATGTTAGGATCTCAAAAAAATCTGTGCACTCACATTTCTTGCAAATTTATTCATAAAAGACAAGATATGAAAAAACTCAAATGCTAACCAGAAGATTATATTATATATATTAGTGGACAAAGAACAAAATGTAGTATATTTACTTTATGAAATATAATTCAGCCATAAAAAAGAAGGAACTCCTCTGTTTGTAATGACATGGATGAATCAGGAGGATGTTATGCTAAGGGAAATATGTGAGACACAAATTGCATACAAAAACATATTACAATGATAGTGCTACATAATCAGGTAGGGTTCAGCGCATGGATGAAAGGTTGGTTCAACATGAGGACATCAATAAATATAATTCATCACATTAGGGCACTTAAAGACAAGAATCACATGATTATCTCAGTAGATGTAGAAACAGCATTTGATAATACTCAACAATCATTCATGTTTAAAACCCTAGAAAAACTAGGGATAGTAGGCACATACCTCAAAATTGTAAAAGCCATCTATGCTAACCCTAAGGCCAACATCATTCTAAATGGAGAAAAATTGAAAGCATTCCCTCTAAAAACTGGAAAAAGACAGGGATGCCCTCTTTCACCACTTATTCAACATAGTTCTAGAAACTCAAGCCAGAACAATTAGACAGAAGATAGAAAGGGATATGAATAGGAAAAGAAGAACTCAAACTGTTCCTATTTGCTGATGACATGATTCTATATTTGGAGGACCCAAAAAAACTGCATCAAAAAACTTCTAGAACTCATAAATGAATTCAGCAAAATAGGAGGATAAAATTAATACCCATAAATCAACTGTGCTCCTATACATCAGTGATGAATCAACTAAAAAGGAAATTAGAAACATTATCCTGTTCACAATAGGTCTCAAAAAATTGGAAGAATTAATCTAACAAAAGAGGTTAAAAAACCCTCTATGATGAAAACTAGAGAACACTAAAGAAAGAAATTGAAGAAGGAAACACCTCCCGTGTTCTTGGAGGGGCAGAATTAATATTGTCAAAATGGCCACACTACTGAAAGCACTATACAAATCTATTAATTGCAATTATGTTCTTCATAGAAATAGAAAAATGAATCATGAAATTCACTTGGAAAAATAAGAGGTCAAGAATAGCCAAAGCAATTCTCAGCAAGAAAAGTGAAGTAGGAGGCATCACAATATTAGACCTTAAATTATACTACAGAACTAACAAAAATGGCATGGTATTGGCACCTAAAGAGACAAGAAGACCAATGGTACAGAACAGAAGACACAGAGACAAAACCACATAAATACTTATACTAGACAAAGGTGCCATAAACATACATTGAAGAAAAGACAGACTCTCAGCAAATGGTGCTGGAAAAACTGGAAATCTATATGTAATAGAATGAAAGTTAACCCCTATCTCTCACCCCACACAAAACTCAACTCAAAGTGGGTCAAGGATTCAGGCAGTAGACCAGAGACCCTGTGCCTACTAGAATCAAATGTCAGCCCAAACCTCCACCATGTTGGCTGAGGAACAAGATTCCTCAACAAGACTTTTAAAGTGTGAGAAATAAAATCAAGAATTAATAAAGGGGATGGTATCAAACTACAGAGTTTCTTCACAGCAAGGTGCATTTCTATAGATTCTTTTCCCAAACAACCAAGAACATTAACAGAGAGCCTACATAATGGGAGAAAAATCTTTTCCACCTACACCTCAGAAATGGCGTTAATCTCCAGGATACAGAAAGAACTCAAAAAACATAACACTTCTGCCAACTGCCCCCCCTCCCCAAGAAAAAAAACAACCAATCAATAAATGGGCAAAGGAATTGAATAAGCACTTAACAGAAGGGGAAATATGAAGGGTCAACAAATGATGAAAAAATGTTCAACATCTCTAGAAATTAGAGAAATGCAAATTAAAACTACACTGAGATTCCATTTTACTCCATCAGAATGGCAATTATCAAGAACACAACTGACAATAAATGTTGGCAAGGATGTGGGAGAAAAGGTACACTGATACATTGCTAGTGGGACTACGAATTGGCAATCGCTCTATAAAGCAGTATGGAGATTCCTCAGAAAACTTGGAATGAAACCACCATTTCACCCAGTTATCCCACTTTTCAGCATACACCCAAAGGACTTAAATTTAGCATACTATAGTGATGTGGCCACATCAATGTTTAGAGCAGCTCAGTTCACAATAGCTAAGATATGAACCAACCTAGGTGTCCTTCAACAGATGAATGGATAAAGAAAATGTATATATACACAATGGAATATTACTTAGCCATAAAGAAGAATAAAATTATAGTATTTGCCAGCAAATGGATGTAACTGGAGACTATCATGATAAGTGAAATAAACCAATCCCAAAAAAACCAAAGGCCAAATATTCTCTCTCTATGTGGATGCTAACACACAATAAGGGAGAGTAACAGAAGTTCATTGGATTAGACAAAGGGGAATGAAGGGAAGGGAGGGGGAGGGGAATAGAAAAAGAGAGTAGAATGGATTAGACATAACTTTCCTATGTTAATATAACTCCATGTGTGTATGAGATTTCAAAATATATCCTACTGTAATATATAACTAAAAAGAATGAATAAAAAATTTAAAAAAAGAAACAATGGAAGAAATCAGTAGGACAAAGAGCTGGTTGTTTGAAATGATTAATAAAATTTATAAATTTGTAATAACATGGATGTGGGAAAGAATAGACAAATTTTCAATATCAAGTATTAAATGGAATATTAATTATAACAGACCTTGAAGACATCAACAGTGTGATAATACCTGTGGGTATACAGATGGATATAGAAATGCCACGTGACAAACTTTGACATCTATGGATAAAAACTCGTAGTAAAACAGAAATAGAGCAGTGTAGGGGTTAAATTATGTCTCTCAGAGCATTTCTATAGATTCTTGTCCCACTCCTAGGAATAAGGGCTTGTTTTCATAAATGGTAATACTATGATGATTTACCTAAGACGAGGTCATAAGGGAGGAGGGCAAGATTATGTTTCAGTGTGACCAGCGTCCTTATAAGGAGGTCAGGGTTCAGTGGCACTTATGTCCTTATAAGGAGATGAGGGTGGGCTGCTGGTTCAGTGGAACTTATGTCCTTATAAGGAGAGCAGGGTGGGGTTCTCATTCACGCAGGCTTGTGTCCTTATAAGGAGAGCAGGGCAAGCCCCTAATTCACTGTGCCTTGTGTTCATTTATGATTATCTTATTTATTTAATTGATTTTTTTTTACATAAAAATATTTGAATTTCCATCCCCTTCATTTTAGGTATGTCCTACAGGTATTTCTGTGCAGTTCCCCTGGGCTTCCCTTTAACAGGAGATGGAGAAAGGATTCTGGTGTGAACCTACGGAAGACAGCCTCCCTAACAGAAAATGCTCTCCTTGTGCATCTCTACCTCCGTCCCCCTCAGTCAAGGTGCCCCAATGTAGCACGTCTACGATGTGTGTAGGACTGTGTGGGGAAATCGTGATGAACCTTTCCTCCCTCTCACCCCACAGGTGTTAATACCATGCTCTACGGTGACTCAGGGAGCAGAGCATCTTGTTGTGGCATCACCATGTGAGTGAGGTGCTACTGTCCTCTTGACGCCAGTTACTTGAAGTTGGAAGAAAAAGGAATTGAATATCTTGAGTGGAGATCTGGTGCGTTCTTGCAAAGCACAAAGTTATTACAGATTTTTAGACTGAAAGTGAAAAGTATGTTGAAATTCCATACAAATTTTAATTTGTAAACAAGTAAATACCAGTCTCCATAACCCACTAAAGCAAAAAATGTCTGGAGTCCTTCCTTATTCCCATTCTGAAAACGGAAAAAGCTCTGGAGGCCCCCAAAACAGGTGACCACTGGGGGGTTATGGCCAGGCATGACTGGGCAATGACTGGCTCTGATGTCACATGGAGCCATTGTGAGTAAGTCTCAAACAGAGGGTATATAAGAAAGTGGCTGCAGCTGGACTTTTGTCCATAAGTACAGGAAGCTCTTGGTGGTGACCTGTTGGACTCCCAGATAGTTAGTGCATTTGGTGGTTGGTGTTGGCGGTGGTCTTTGGATATTGGTTCTTTGATTTGGGTTTGTTGTTTTGTCTTGTTTTTGTTTTTGATTTGCATTTGTTGTTTTGGTCTGTTATTTTTTTTTTTTTTTTTTTTTTTTGGCCTCCTTCTTTGGTGTTCCGGCTTAGGATGGTCAGCCAGAGTAGAGAGATGAGTGTAGGGCTGCAGGGGCCCGGCTCCTGCAAAGAAGCAGTCTTCCAGGACCAGTATGAGGTCCTGAGGGACATTGGGTATGGCGGGTATGGCCAGGTAAAACTAGCCCGCCATCGCCTCACTGGGGCAGAGGTGGCAGTGAAAGTCGTGGAGAATATAGAGCAGAACCTCCAGGTCCTCTGTGAGCCAGATATGATGAGAACCCTGGAGCATCCCAACGTGATCCAGTTGTTCCAGGTTATTGAGACCTCCAGCAATATCTACATGGTGATGGAGCCCGCAGGTGGGGGACAGCTAGTTAGCCACGTCCCAGAGGATGGCCTGCAGGAGGAAGAGGCCCGGCGGCTTTTCCGGCAGATGGTGTGTGCAGTGGGCTACTGCCATGCCCAGGGCATCGTGCACCGAGACCTGAAGCCAGACAACATCCTGTTGGATGCCGGAGGCAACATTAAGCTTATTGACTTCGGCCTCAGCACCAGGGTCACCTCTGGGCAGAACTGGAAGGACTTCTGGGGCAGTCTCTTTCATCTTGCTACCAGATGTGTCCTGAGGCAAGCGTTTGAGGGCCCCCCAGTGGACATCTGGAGACTGGGCGTCATTCTGTACTTTATGTTGACAGGGAGGTGTCCATTTGTGGGGCCTGCCACTCCGGCGATGCGGAGGCAGATTGTGCTGGAAACCTACTTTGGCACGCGCCATGTGTCTGTCGAAGCCCGGAGGCTCATCGACCAAATACTGACCCTGGATCCCAGGAAGCAGCCTACAGTCCAGCAAATCCTTCAGCACCCATGGCTGACACAGGGTGAGCAGTATTTACCCCTTCGTTGTAGTGAGGCACTCCCCAAACACCCCGACCCTGAAATAATGACCATCTTGATTGATATGGGTTATGATCCTTACAAGATCTGGGTGTCTCTGGCCAAGAGAAATTTCGATACAGCCATGGCTACCTACTTAATCCTGAAGCACCAGAAAAGTCAGGGGGCAGGCTGCATGTTCCAGGGGAAGCCTGGGCCTCCAAGGTTTAAGCCTCACCCACACCCTGTCCTCCCAAAGAGGAGTCACAGTGAGCCTGCCCTTCACACCTTCCCCTGTGAGCCGCAGCTGAGTATGGAGAATGGACAGACAGGGCAGAAGGGCCTCAGAAGGGCCAGCCAGCAGGCCATTCATCTCCCCTTCCTGCCTGCAAGCACCCCCACACCTGATACTGGGTCGCCCCATAACAACAGAAATCGTCGGAAGAGGGTAACTAGGAGGATTGCGGCCTGTGTCCGGCACCTGTGCTGTTGCCTGCCACGAGTCAGTAAGAAGGTGGTGCCAGTGTAAGAGGCAGAAATGGGCCAGATTCCTAAACAGTGTGGCTCCAAGGAAGGGAAGAGGTGAAAGAGCCAAGTCAAGTGGACAGCCAGAGCACCCTGTGCCTGAGGGTCCTGAAACCTGGGTGTGAGGTCAGTCATGTGGACTCTGAGCAGCTGCAGGAGCGAGATGTGCCAGCTACCTCAGGTCTCTCTGCACGGGCTCCAGCCGAGAGCACTTCTGTACCCACTGGCATCAGGAGTCTCCTCTGCCCCCACCTGCCCAAGACATCAGAGACTGTTCTCCCTGGGACACTCCCCTGCCCTGCTCCTCTGACCTTTCTCCCTTCTTCTGAGATGTTTCTTAATAAATTTGTTTCAAACAAACAATTTTTTAAAAATCTGTCATTAACATGAGTATTATGTTTAGCATAGCTATATCATGAAAGTTACTAATGGCTACTTTTCTTCATTAACTCAGTTTTTTTGGCTATTATGGTTTGGATATGAAAATTCTGCGCAAAGCTCCCATAGTAATGCATTAGGTGACATGATTAGACTGGAAGAGCTGTAACCTCATCAGAGGAATAATTCAGGTGATGCATTAATAATTGGAATGCATTATTGGGTATCTGTAGGCAGGTGGAGTATGGCTGGAGGAAGTGGTTCACTGGTATCTTGCCTTGGGGATTACATATTGTGGCCCTGGTGCTCTCTTTCTGTTACTCTGCCCCCCTCTCTTTCTCCCCCTCCTTCCCTCCCTGTGTTTCATCTGTCATAAGCTGAGTAGCTTTCTGTCACACCCCCCACTATGATGTTCTGCCTTACCTGGGGCCCAGAGTAATGGAGTCAACCAACCATGGACTTAGGCCTCTGAAACTGTGAGCTCAGAATAAACTTTTCTTCCTCTGTTGTTATTGTAGGGTATTTTGATTACAGTGATGAAAAGCTGACACTTTAACTTACATAGAATTTCAGAAAAATAAGTTTTAAAAAAATGTTCTTAGTTGGTAAGGAAAACTAAACCTAAGGAAATAAAGGGTACTAGCATATATATATATTTTTAGTAAATTTGTTAGTTTTTTGTCCCTATGACCGAAATACCTGATAGATTAGGGGAATAGATTAGGGGAAGAAAAGTTGATTTGGGATCACAGTTTCAGAAGTTTAGTCCCATGATGGGCCGAGTCCCTTGCTCTGGGCCCCAGGTGAGGCAGAACGTCATGGCAGACGGTAGGGCAGAGGAGTGCTGTTCATCTCATGGTGGCCAGAAAGCAGAGAGAGAGAGGGGAAGGGGCTACAAGGAAAATGAGTCCTTTCAGGGTATGCCTCCTGTGATCTGTCTTCTCCAATCTTACCCCACCTGCCTACAGTTACCCTCCAGTTAGTTCATTCAAACTAGGATGAACTGGTTTGGTTGGAGTTCTCATAATTCAATCATTTTATCTCTGAATATTTCTACCTTAACAAAGAAGCTTCTGGGGGACACCCTATATCCAAACCATAATAGTAAATTTCCTTGGCTGGGGATGAGGCTCAAGCGGTAGTGCGCTCGCCTGGCATGCACGCGGCTCTGGGTTCTATCCTCAGCACCACATACAAATAACATAAAGATGTTGTGTCCACTGAAAACCAAAAAATATTAAATTCTCTCTCTCTCTCTCTTAACCAGGAAGTTTACAATTTTTTTAAAGATAACCAGGAAGTTTACAATTTTTTTTAATCTAATTTAACCATCCCCCAAACCCTGTGGAATAGCCATTAACTGCTCAAAATGGCAGTTAAGAAAACTTATGGGGAAAGCATTTTTTTTTTTTACCAAATTATAGATTCTGATGGACATTTTGGTGCTCAGTTTAAACTGCAGACTTTCCACACACAATACTTTTAAATTAAGTAATGATTATAATTATAATGTATTATTGTCTTACTTTGGGTTAGATTCAGTATGAATATTATCTCCTTTATTTCAAACAATTCAAGGAAATTGATCTGTTAATATTATAATCTCATATTCAAGAATGAAATAAAGATTGAAAACAGAAAGTAATTAAACCAGGTAATCAATGTTGTGTTTTAAGCACACAGAAAGAAGTATGGAAACTTAAGAGTGAAGAGACAGAGGAAGGAGAGCAGAGAGTAAGACTTTGCACAAAAATCAACCTGTACATTTTGAGTATCTAGAGATCTGAAATGATAGTTGCCAAATAGAAAGTCTGAAATTATATAGTAAGTTATCACAAATACAGCAATACATGTAGGCTTATATAATATCTGATAAAGCATGGGATTTGATTATGCTGCTTGTTTTTGAAGATTAAAATATATAATGGAAACCCTCTAATGATTTCAAATATTAAAAGGACACACATTAATGATGGGGAGTTCACAAAATAAGAAGAAAAAGAAAAAATACCAATTGTTTAAAATAGTGTCATTGCAATTTAACGTTTAGAGACATCATGAGAGTATAAGCACTCACCAAGTCCCGCACTCTCCAAAATCTAAAGCATGAATGAAGGATGTCCAGATAGAACAGATTAGAGCGAGACAGGACTTGGCTACTTCGAATAAGACCCAGTCTCCAAGCAGAAGCTAAGTAAATTCTGATGCTCTAGAGAGGCTGAAGGCGCCAGTTCTTTGTTTGCCATGTATTAAATGAAGTGATCAGTGTTTCATAGCATCTTGGAGCTTGATTTCTAGTGTGAAAAATTTAGAACAAATTAGAGGCAAGTCGTAGATGTTCTTTGTTTTCAAAGAACTTCCTATGAAGTTTTTCATGGATGGGTTTTCTTTATATTGCAATTATTTTGCTGTTAAAACCATCATCACAGATGACATACATACATATATATAACCCCAGGGTTATACGCAGAATATTAGTTTATTCCTATGTATTTTTGTAGGTTATGGGCCCTGAAGTTTGTAAGTCTTTGTCAAAAAACATTTAACAGTGGCTGAAATAGATTGAAAATTTATTCTGATTTACTTAAAAGTCACAGCTGGTAGGCAGGCCAGGGGATATAGGAGCTCTCCTCCATGAGTTGTCCAGGAAACATGATTCCATCATAATTTTAAGCGTGGTCTTTCTACCCATGGTCAGGGCTGGTGCATTTTCATCGTATCCACAGTGCAGCCAGTGATAAGAAGAAACAGCACGTAGAGCTGTTTCTTCATTGATAGCTTTTGTAACAAACCCTGCCACGCCCAACTTCTACTAAGCCAAAGTTAGTTCCATGGGTGTAACCAGATGCATGGTAAATTAGCCTGGGTACTTTCTAGCTAAACATCCCTGTGTCTGGCAACATCCAGAAAATTAGGAAATCTATTCCATACACAGTAGCCTCCAAAATTAAAATATTTGCAAATCAATTAGAAAAAAAAAAGAGAAATGCACCAGACACAGGACAAACAGTTCTTAATTCGACTGGATGAAGTACTGAAAGGCACTACCCGATGCCTGAGAGTACTTGAGTCTTTTCAATATTCCAGCATCAAAAATTGATTTGATTATACTACCTTTCTTTATGTTTGATTTAGTAAATACAGATATAAAAGAAGACCACTTTCTAGATAATCCTGAATAACTGACACACTCTTTGCCACATTCAAAGCACATTCTTAATATACTCGTCATTTTCCCTTTTGTCAAGGGATACATTGTATAAAAAACTCATGTGATGCCTTCCCACTACCAAACCTGAACAGTGCTATGCCATTTGCTCAAAGGTAGACATTTCTTAAATACCTTTAATTGAGACATTTCTACGTGAATCATTTATTTTACATTCTGTTGTAAGTACTAGAACATAGGTTTATAAAACAGGAGTCTGGAAGGATGACAAAAAGTTTGACATCTTGACTCCTTGTACCGAGGTTACAAGAAATTGGCCTATTTGATTTTCAAACACAGAATTCATGAAATTTAAAATGTCTCTGGACACTGGACTCTTTTTCTGTAAAAAGGTGTCGGATGTGTGGGAAGACGTGCCCCGTCTCACCAGTCAACATTATTTTAGACAGAGTGCTTGCCTCTCAATGGGTGACACATGTGCCAATTATCCAGAGAAATTCAATTCTGTTCCACTTGCTTCCAGTTCTTATTTATGGGCTTGACTACCTGACAGACCATTCCTAAATATGTAGCTAGTAGTCTAGAAATGTCATCCTCGCCTCTATGAGAGAAGCAATTGTGATAAACACTGCACCTGAATCTTCAGAAGTAGTCCAAGTGTAGGAAACACAAATGGGCTCAATATTTTTCTTTAAAAAAATTATACTTTGTGATCAAGATACTTTTGAAACATAAATGCTTACATGAGGATAGTAGTGATTGAAACTAGATTATGGTCCTAAAATTGTACTTTGTTTTCCTCTCTGAAAACACTCACATCCCATAGTAATAACTATTGCACTCAGAATAGATATTTCATCTTAGATGGTCCAACTGTAATCATCGGTCTGAACGGTGAGTTAGTAAGTATTATATTCACTTCTTAAGTGTTTATACTAAAGCCACTGAAAACTGCCAAGACAACCAATTGAAAAGATGAGCGGAATCCATCAAAATAGATGCCCGCTGGCCACACAGCAAATTTAGATTATTATACTTTCTTGATCTATTCTTATAGGTTTGACTGAATTGACTCCAAAATTGAGGTTCAGGTTTTAGTCTGTGACAATCTACATGAACAGTGTGGTTCTGAGAACTTCCCTGTCCTTTCTGAATCTCAAAAGCCCTGTAATAACTTTCTAATGATGGGCAAACTGGTCACTCTGGCCATTCTGCCATGTGTCAGTAAAGCACAGGTAATTTATCTCATTATAGGATCGGATTATCCCTTAAATTCTGTATTGTGTTGGTATAACACAGTTTTGATTTTTAAATGGTTAGAGAATATTACAACACATCATTTCAATGGGCTAACACTGAAGTAGTGAATTTGTGTTTTATTTTGCCAACACTTACATAACGCTTATGTAAGGTAAGTCTGCACCGTGCACAATTTGAAACACTTTGCAAAAATTAAC